TGGGCAGGTCGGCAGCGCCCCGGATCCTCTGCGCCACTCGGTCCCCCTCGGGGTGGATCCTGCCCACATGCCGCCACATCCGCTCCCAGGTGGGCTCATCCACGGGCAGCCCGCCGCGGTTGACGAAGAAGGGGACGCCGCCGTCGCGAAGGTCCTCCTCGCCCTCCTCCTCCTGCTGCTCCTCGTCCCGCGGTGCCGCCGCCTCGCCGGACGGGGGCTGCCTGGCCGCCGCGGCCCCGTCGCCCCCCGGCATCGGCATCGCCGCGCCCGCACTCAGCGCCTGCCGCCCGCCGCCGGGCCGCCGGGGGCCGCGCCCCGCATGGCCGGCGCTCCGGGCACGGGGCGTCACCGCCCCCGCCTCGCCCCCGGAGATATCAGAGCGGAGGGTTCGCCGCGAGAAGGGGAGAAAAAGCCGGGCGGGGCGGTGCCGGCTGCCGCATCAGGCCGCCGCCGCGGCGGAGGAGGCGCCGGCGGCCCGAGCGCCCGCGGCAGTGACGGCGGGCACCGCGCGGGGCGGGCCTGCCGCCGGGGCGCCCCCGCCGCGCCGCCTCCCGGGCGCTCCGCGGGCCGGGCGGGCACAGCCGCCTCCTGGGCGGGGGCTAGCTGCATGCGGGGGAACAAAGCCCCGCTCGGGGCGGGGCCGGGCCGGGCGGGGCCGGGCGTCGCTGCCCTCCGCCCTGCTCCGCCCTGGGCTGGGGCTTAGCATGCACCCACCGCCGTGCCCGAGGCGCGCTGTCGCTGTCGGGGCGCGGCCGGGCGGGCGGCGGTGTCGCTGCCCGTGGGCGATAAGGCAGATAAGGGCGATAAGAGAGGCGGCTGTGGCCGGGCGATAAGGGGGCGGGGCGGGAGCGGGCCCCGGGGGCTGGGGCGGGGCCACGAAGCGATGGCAGAAGGGTCGCCGTGAGGGGCCGGGGGCTGCGCGCTGCCCGCCGGAGGTTGCGCTCGGGCTGCGGGGCCGAGGTGGGCGGCTGGCCGGCCGGCCTCAGAGTGGGGCCCGCAGGCGATAAAGCACTGCTGGAGCCAGGGACAGGTGTCCGTGTTGAAATAGCTTTGAGGAACGGAAGAGGTGGGATGAGCTTTCCAGGTAGGAAGCAGTAGGGGGTGGAGAGCGTATTCGGATGCTCCTGCAGCACAAAGCAACAGTGAAGGATGGGCTCTTGTGGAACCGCGCCGCTAATCTAGGGGTGTGCTACGTATAGCCAGTCCTCCGTACCTAAGGTCTGGAGATGCACCACAAGTGAAAGACCGAGTGTTTTGCTCTGCTTCATTGCCTGGTTTTGTTTCAGCTCTCCTGTAGTGCTGAGAAGTGTGAACTCTCATGGGAGGTTATCCACATGCTGCAGGAGATTTGTAAGCCTATTCTCCAGTGTGTACCTGCTATAGTGGTTGTGTCCTCACCTGTTGGAGCTAGGCTGTATCTTGCCGTAGACAGGACTGCTGTCTTGCCGAAGAAAAAACTGTTGTGTTTTTCACCACCCTGTAGTATTAATCCATGTTGAAAGCTCCAACATAAAAGTATTCTGTAATTTAACCAAGTACAAGAAATCTGTACAAATTACTGGGTCAGCTGTTGAGGAACTGTCTGAAGTGCATCTCGAAAAGCTGTTTCATTTAGCACTCCAAACAAAAGGCTGTGGTTCAGCATCAGTGTGGGGAAATGAGGGAAAATACATGCCGGTTGCCATGGAATTTGATGTGCCCTGAGAATAGGGTATAACGTTTACAGAGCTGGGTAGAGGATTTCAGAGAGAAATTCCACTTCTTCTATAGTGCTCTGTAGGCTGTTGCTCACATGAGATCATTTCTGAAGCCAAAATACTTGAATACAATTTTCTGTTGAACACAACATTGCCCAAAACGCTGAAAGGTTGATTCTTTTTTTTTTTAAGAAAATTAGGCTAAATGTGTATCCCTGCTTCTACCTTCCAATCAAATCACCAGTATCACTTCACATAGCCTACATTAACTTCTGTATACTTATACATATAAGTTACTGAATAAGTATTTCTTTTGAATAGGGACCTTAAGCACTGCAGATTTATCACCTCTGTAAGGTTTTAATTGTTTTTATTGCCTTGCCTTTTACTTATGAGCAATTGACAGTTGGTTGACATTGATTCCTTATATCTAAAGAGGCAGCAAAGCTTGTGACAGGAATCACTTTACGGCCCCAGAATAGACACATTTTGCAAGAACAGTTCATAATGTTCCATGTCCTCAATCCCTTCTGCCCCAGTGGTCCTCAGTCCCTCTAGAGACACAGGGCTGGTGCCAGCCATGTGATGGCACAGGCCTATTGGGGGATATCATCTGCATGTTGCTTGGGGGGCAGGTACATTTCCGGTAACAGCACTGTGGAAAAGACAGGGTGCAAAGACTTTAAATGCTTCTTTTAGAGCTGTATTGCCTTCCCTGGCTGAAACTAGGCAAAGCTGTCCATAAAGGCTAGGATGCTTGCTTTGCTTCTGAGCTCCAGCACTAATTCAGGGCTGGTAGTTCATATAGCCTTCTGTACCTCAGCTTTTCTACCTGTTAGAGGGAAATGCTAATAACCCTGACTTGCAGCCAGAGATTTTGTAAAGATTAGCTGGCATTTTTTGCACATTAGCAAGTATTCTTTCTTAAAAGTAAAAATAGTTGTAGTAGAAGCGAAATACAATTCTTGCATGCTTCATGTTTTAAAACATATTCTCAAGTCTTAGTTGGAGGAAATGTAGCTGATAAGTATCAGCAGACCTCAAAATAAGCTTTTCAATGGATTTTTGTTTCAGTTTGTATTGGATAATTATTAGGCACCATCCCTCCCTCCCTTCTGACTGTCACTCAAAAATAATTGGTCCATAGAAGGGGATCAGTATTTTAAGGTAGTGCATGGCACTAAGCTTTATGTAGCTGAAAAAGGATAGAGCATAGCCTTGCCAAATGAGCCAGTCCCTGCAGTGGCAACTGGAGTGGCATGTGAGGTGACAGCAGAGGACAGAGCTTCACTTCCCCTTCTGCACAGCTCGTGCTTCTGCACCATGGGTGCTGTTGCCCGCAGTGCAGGGTGTGTTATGTGCATTAAACACTGCCTTTCATTTCTGGCAGCACACTGTTGTGGCTAGGATGGTGAGGGACCAGAGGACATGCAATTTCTATTTAATAACAACAGAAATTTTTCATTTACCTGTGCTCTGTAGAGGAAGATTGTGCAAATGCTCTGTGTATATCACACCCTGATGAGAATGGTTTAAATGGGTGGAACTTAGTTAAGTTTTGCTGTTAGTGAAAAATTAAACAACATTGATAATAGATTGAAATCAAGGCAGAACTTACTGGAATAAATAAGTTATTTTTAAGATATAAAATATTTGATAAAAATGTGCAAGTGATATACAGACCACTTGAGAAATAAATTCCTTCATCTGTTCTTCTGTGTGAAGTGGAAGTTTTGTCTCTATTTGAGAGGATCCAAAATTAGTTTCTGCAAACATAGAATACATGGATAGTGAGTGATAATGTCCCTTTTGTTTTATAATGTCTTCTAGATTTTTATTAAGATTTCTTTTTTTTTTTTTTACTTCTGGTAGTCATGTTGCTGTCATTTTGGTTTTGGTGTTTGTTTTTTTATTTTAATCTTCAAATACAGTGTCTTTGTGATCTTGTGTAAGACCAATTAAAACATTTAGCAGAGATTTCCTCTTCTTAATGGCAATTTTAGGCCACTGTTCAGTTACACTTTCTTAGTGTGAACTGGAACATCTCAATGATCTTAAGGGTTTTTTTCCAAAGTACATAATCTATGTAACACTGAATGTTGCTTAGAGCATGAGTAGGGGTTGCGCTGTCTTTATCCAATTTGGCCTTTTTGTGATCTAAGGTTCTCTGTGGCACTAACTTCCTTTTTCTGTAACTGTTTTGAGCTGGGTTCCCTTTTTTTATTCCTGAAAGAGCTCTGTGAAAAGCCTTATGTGACCCATCAGCATATTTCTGAATTTATTTCCCAGACTACTTAGCTTTGAGGCAATTACCTAACCTTGTTGTGTTTCTTTAAGTGTTTCTAACATGTCAATTCTGTTTACTTCTCTGTGTGTTTGGAATGCTTCTTCCAAAGACACCTGTAGTTTTTCTAAATCGATTTTTCAGAACTTTGCCCATGAGTCATTCAGTGCTTGTGTATCACACTGGATGGCCTGCAACAAATTAGGTGAACTACCTTTTAAAATTGTTTTTTTAAAAAAAAAAAACAAAACAAAAAAGTGTTTGTTTTAAAAGTGTTTGTTGTTTGTCCTTCCCCTTCCTTCCCCTTCCTTCCCCTTCCTTCCCCTTCCTTCCCCTTCCTTTTCCCCTCTCTCTTTGTCCCTTCTCCCTCTTCTTTTTCTGTCTCCTTCTCACCCCTTTCTCTCTTTCCTTGCCTTTCTTGTTTTTCTCCACAGTTGTGTTTTCATACACAGTGGTGTAAAAACTTAAGAAAACTTTTGTGAGGTGAAGACTGTCTTGTACAGGGATACCCCCAGTGACATATTTCCTGCTGGAAATGTTCAAATGTAGGAAAGGC